CCCCGTCTGATTCCCAATCAGGTTACTTGGCTTTTATGTAGATAAAGGAAAGGCCTCTTTCAGTGTGTCCTGATCATGAATGGCCTTTAATTCAGAATATTCTTTATACCAAAGAGTCATATTTTGGGGCAAAATTTCCTTAGCTACTTCAATGCAAACAAGCACCTGCTGATTGTCAGGGGACAAAGTTTTGACAAAGCTTTAGATTAAGTAGTGACCCTACTTCAGTAAGCCTCACGTTGGCTAAGTACATGGTTTAGCAAGGTGCAGTGTGTACTAAGTATGCCCAGTGCTGTGAAAGGTGATCATTCCAGTTGGGTCATCTTGTATACCCAACTAATACAAAGTCAAGAAGCCACAGGAGTGGGCTGGTAGGTGCGAGCTCTCAGGACACACAGTATTGCTCTCAACTGCAAACATGAAATTCTCTGTAAGTCTGGCTGCTGAAACTGACTGTTGTAAGCAGAGACCTGAGACCAGTTTTCTCTGCTGAAATAACTTGCTGCAACTCTAGGATTACTCACCAGTTGGAGTGTGCCAGGTCCCAAGAATGTTACCAGTGCCATCTGATGAGTGTGATGGCATCACAGATGGTGCTGCTCTTGGGACAAGGAAAGAATTTCTCTAGGCCAAAATTAGGATATAAATTTATTTTGTGACCGAGCACTGTGGCTCACAACTGTGATCCTAGCACTTGGGCAGCTGAGGCAGGTGAATTGCCTTGTTGCAGGAAGATGAGGCCCAACAGAGAGAAGGAGCACCCAAATATCATGTTTCTTAGAGGAAGGGCTCTATTTCAGCTGGTGGAGGAAACAGTATAGAAGAATTCCAAATGGCTATGCTCCCCCAACTGGCTTAGTCTTTTCCTTTTTATCTCCAGTTGAAAAGTTCCAACCCACAGGTACCTTTCTCATTGGTCAGTTTGAATCAAGGGGGGAAAGTTGGTCCAGCCTCCACAGAACTACAGGATTTCACAGAAGCGGAAATTTCCAGGTCCTAGGAAGTTAAGTCTACAAAATCCTAAGTGCTGAGTCACCAGGGAGAGGACCCTGCAGGTATATCCTTGGGGTCTCCTTGAGAAGACCTTTTTTCTCCTAGACCTCACCCTTCCCAGGTATCCTCCCTCAGCCTGAGCCAGAGCAAGACCCCATCTCTAAACATAGCCTGGCATTGTGGCAAGTGCCTGTAGACCCAGCTACTCCCAGGCTGAGGCAAGATAATCACTTGAGCCCACAAATTTGAGGTTGCTGTAAGCTAGGATGCCATAGCGCTCTACCAAGGGTGACAAAGTGAGACTGTTTCAAAAAAAGAAAAAAGAAAAGAAAGAGGGAAAGAGTGGGAGGTAGAGATGAGAGAAGAGAGCAGAGACTGACAGAAAGGAAGATGAGGGGGGAAGGAGGGAGAGAAGGGTAGCGTCCTAAATAAAGAACCCCAGCACTGAGGTCCAGTGGGAAGCGGAATCTAAGGTGTGTGTGTGTGGGGGGGGGTGTAACTGCAACTGAATTTACGAGGTATTGTGAACACGAATGCTGTGCCCAGTTTTTTTCTCAGCAAGGCTGAAGACAGACCCTATTCCAGGTGTTTGCAAGTCTGAGGCCTGATTGTTCATATTCCATTTTGTCCATCCAGACACTCAGAGAAAGACAAAGGAGCTGGGGAAATGGAAAGAGAATTCACAGTTTTTGGTTTGTTGGGTCCCTCAATGGTTTGTGAAAACAGAAATCCTGGCAGTGCAGGGCTGCTGGCAAAGAAAGTAGGCAGATTGAAAAACTATGAGTTATTACTTTTTTTTTTATTATTTCATTATAAAGGTTGACCATCCTTATACTAATAAACTTTCTCAGAGAGCCAGTACATAGTAACCATTGTGTTACATAGAGATCTGGCTCTCCTAGGGAAAAAGGACAAGAGTGGGTCCCCAGCCCCCATCTCCCTTAATCCTGTGATTGCTGGGGAGGAGGGCACACCACCAACCTACCACCTAGAGTTCAGTGTCCACCTGCAGGAGGAGGTAGGAGATTCTCCAGTCCAAGGACTTAGCCCCAGGTACAAAAAGTCCTGAAGGTGACTGAGAATGCCTTTAAGACTATCATTAGTTTAAATCTACATTGCCGTCCACACCCTGCCCCAAGGGCTCTCCCAGAGGGTTATGGGAGGTTCACGTGTGCAGGACTCTGGTTCCAAAGTGACCTCTCCACCTTGAGGTAGGCCTGATCCTGACATATGAAACAGAAGCACTGCCTTAACACAGGACTCTTTGCCCCAATATTGCGGGTAACAATGCGTTGACAGTTGCCTTCTATGGCCAATATATCTTGCTCTGTAAGCCTGTTTTTTACTTCCTCCACAAAATTTGTTTCAGGCTTGGGGTGTGTGCCCATTTTTGGCCAAGAGTACCCCCAAGAACCAAGGATACAGACAGCTTCCTGAAATTCAGACATTCTTAGGGAGCAGGCAGCCTCCAGAGAACCTGACAATAACATTTTCTTTTTTATAAAATCTCCAATCTCCTGTTTTCTCCCAAATAGCTGCAGCCCCAAAGACCTGCACAAATGCCCTGAATTGCAATTTTCTTCCCCAGACGTTGCATGGAGATATTCAGCTGTGCACATTTTATTTCGACTTCTACAGCATGAGGGTGGATCCAGAGTCTGAGAAAGTCTTTGTCCGGAAAGAACAAGATCAGAAACACCCAGTTGCTGATTTTGGTCAAGGCCACCTTAAGGCATTTCCACCCAGAGTGTGGGTGTGGGGGCGCATAAATTAAATCTTTTTTTTTTTTTTTTTTTTTGAGACAGAGTCTCATTTTGTTGCTCTCAATAGGGTGCTGTAACTTTACAGCTCACAGCAACCTCAAACTCTTGGGCTCCAGAGATTCTCTCGCCTCATCCTCCCAAGTAGCTGGGACTACAGGCACCTGCCACAGCGCCCCGCTATTTTTAGAGACGGAGACTGGCTCTGGCTCTGGCCGGTCTAGAACCGTGAATGAGGCAATCCATCGCCCGGGCCTCCCAAGTGCTGGAATTAGAGGTGTGAGCCACTGTGTTGGGCCAATTGAATGTCTTTCTCCAGGAAGGCAACTAAAGGGATGAGCTGCCTGCCCGTGTGGCCTATAAGATTGAGCCTGGGGGCAGGACACAGTCCCCCCAGTTTAGGAGGGAAGCCCTCAAATCCTCTCCTCCTTCCCTGCAACCCTGGACATCCCTAGCTTTCTAGAAATTTCTCATACTCCCTACCCTTCCTCTTGCCAGGTAGGAATCCCAGAGATAATGAAGTTACTTCAGCCACCAGCCCCAAATAGCTGCAGCCCCGAGCCCAGAAACCCCGGGAGCAACCCCACAACCTAGGAGGAAATACCTGAATACCCCCTAGACGCATGCAGGCCAGGAAAAAGCCAGACGAATACTGGGGGGTGGGGTGGTGGTGGGACCACCTCTATCCTCTCTGTGGGGAGTGGGGGGGAGGTTGCGACCACCTCCATCCTCTCTGCGGGTGGAGTGAGGGAGTTGGGACCACCTCTATCCTCTGGAGGGGGAGGTTGGGACCACCTCTATCCTCTCTAGTGGGGGGGGGTTGGGACCACCTCTATCCTCTCTGTGGGGTAGGGGGGAGTTTGGAACCACTTCTGTCCTCTCTGCGGGTGGGATGAGGGAGTTGGGACCACCTCTATCCTCTCTGGGGTGGGGGGGGTTGAGACCACCTCTATGTTCTCTGTGGGGTGGGAGGGAGGTTGGGACCACCTCTATCCTTTCTGTGGGGTAGGGGGGGTTGGGACCACCTCTGTCCTCTCAGGTGGGGTTATTGAGACCACCTCTATCCTCTGGGGGGGAGGTTGGGACCACCT